TCTCTTCGTTTTAGTATTGAACCATTTTGATTTAATTAAACGTAAATTACAATAAAGGTTTTTGCACTAAAATATTTTTTATCCACCGCTTGACAGCAAAGATCTACAAATGAAAGGAGCCTACTAAGATTTTTAGTGATAGTTTAATACACATATTTGTGTGCAGTATTTTGTTTAGTATTATTTATCTTGAAAACGGGTGGTCGTAGACCATTTTATAAGCAGAACATTTTTTATGTATTTATTTCCGTAGATTCTAATTTTGAAGTTAAAATAGTGTAATGTCTTTACTTTATAGTTTATCAGATTTTTATTTAAACACAAAGTGTTAATTTTAAAACATATTTTATTTCCCTTATAATACAATTACACCGGTCGCGAGTTTAATCGATGAGAGCTTGCTTAAGACTTCCAATACTATTAATAATAATAATAATTCATTTATTGACTTGATAACAAAAACCTAATTCAAACATATAATAACATATCAAAATAAAAATACTATTAATTAAATCAAGTCAACTCGGACGATTGTCAGAGGAGGTTTAGATAAACAACTCTGATTTTCACAATTGCCCGAAAATACTATAAATAAGAAGAGAATAGAAGAAAACAAGAAAACAGATAAAGGAATAATTCAAGATTAGGAGTCTCTCTTAAAAATCGATGATTTTTTTTTTAATCGATAGCAAATGAGTCAAAAGAGGCGTAAATGATAAAAAAAAAGTGCGGAAAAGTGTAGTACTTACCGAAAAATCACTTTAAAGTTGCGATTTGACGTTTCTTTTTGGAAGTTCAAAGCAATGTTAAAATTGCATTTTCGTATTAAATCCTAACCTGAAATTGTTTAATTTATACCCACGCACAAAATAAAAAGTTATTTTCACTAAACTTGTTGAGATTACAACATATTTTCGGATGAAAACCTTGTTTCTTAGGCTATCGATGCAGAACGACAATTAAATGTCGTTAGATAGAATTGTTTCTACCAAATGTGTATTAATAGACTTTGTGTTAATAGATTGTGTATCAATTGATCTGTCAAATGACTGAAAGCTGAAATATCTTTATGTTGTAAATATAAATGATAAATAAGTATAGTAGCTTATTTAATAGTACCTTACTTAAGTTAAAATAGTTATTAAAAAAGACATGCTTACAAAATAAAAATAAATAAATAATCCGTGTGACGATAGCAACAAACTGTGTATTTAACCAAATGACAATTACAACTGACAACACAAGCAATGTTAACCATGTATTTTCTCGTATTAAATCCTAACCTCAAATTGTTTAATTTATACCCACGCACAAAATA